GAGAGAGAGAGAGAGAGAATATGTGGAAATGCTTGTTATATATAGCAGGAGAAAAACTATTTGAATAATTTAATTATGTTTCATTAGAAATATATATTATTATATATGTTTCAGAGGTCTGTTTAGTAACAGTTCATAGAAGTGCTGTTTTAAGGATAGAATTATGGGACTTGTGTTTTTTGAAAATTTATCTATGATAAACACATTTTTGCTTTTTTTTTTTGTTGTTGTTGTTCTAGGAGTGAACTTGAGATGTGGTGGGGGGAGCACTGAAGCACTGAATAACATCCCCAGCCTTTTTAGTTTTTATTTTGAGATGTGGCCTTGCAGAGTTACTGAGGCTGGCCTCAAACTTGTGATCCTTTTGCCCCAATCTTCCAAGTAGCAGGGATTACAGGAGCACATCGCTGTGCCTGGCTTACATTTTGTTATTCAAGCATGTAAAAGACTATAAAATGTTATTTATACAGATTTGGGGAGATGAAAAGACCTCACTTAAAAAGACTTGGGTAACTGGCCCTTAGGACATCATCATAATTCATTTGAAACAGTTTAACACAACAACAAAAAAATCCTGACTACTATCTCCACTAGAGGGCACTCTTCTCCAATTTCGATGCTGGGGGTTTATTTATTTATTTATTTTTAGGTGTGAATGGACACAATACTTTCATTTTGTTTGGTTTGGTTTCTTTTTTTAATGAGGTGCTGAGGATCAAACCCAGTGCCTCACATACAAAGCAAGTACTCTACCACTGAGTTACAACCCCAGCCCCCATGATGGAGATTTTTAAAGGCAGTTCTAAAGTTTTATTTCAATCCACTTGGGGAACTCAAAACCTTTTATGTTTGCTTTTCTTATTTGTTTGGCTTTAAATAAACTTTTTATTTTGGAATAATTTTAGGTGTACAGAAAAGTTTCAAAAATTAGTACAGATTCCTTTATGCCCTTTGCCCAATTTCCCTAATGTTCACATCTTACATAACCTTCCTACATTTATCAAAATTAAGAAATTAGCACTGGTACATTACTTTTAACTAAACCACAGGTTTTATTTGGATTTCACCAGTTTTTCCACTAATGTTCTTTTTTTTCTATTCTAGGCTACAATCCAGGACACCATATTGTATTTAGTAATTTTTTTAAAGAAACAAATACACACTAACTGTAATAATCATAAATTACCATTTACATTTTTGCATGAATACCTGTATTTTCCCAGAAAGGTGAAGGCTAGTATTTTTATTTAATTTCTCTTATTAGCCACCAGGTGCAGTGGCATACACCTGTGATCTCCACAACTCAGAAGGCTGAGGAGGCTAGCCTCAGCAACTTAGTGAGACCCTCACTAATGTAATAAGACTCTGTCTCAAAATTAAAAAATAAAAATGATTGGAGATGTAGTTCAGTGGTAAAGCACCCCTGAGTTCAGAAAATAATTTCTCAATTTCCATGACCTTTTTAAGTTATTGAACTTTTCAACCCCTACTTTACATCATCTGCATTTCTATTTTTTTATGGTGCTGTGGAACCACCATTTATGTTCAGTTTATGTTCCTGCAGCAGATGTCAGCAAAAGAGTAATCCTAGCTGAGGGTGTAGCTCAGTGGTACAGCATGTGCTTATTAACATCTATGAGACCCTGGTTTCATCCCCAACATCCCACCCCTCAAAAAAGGTGAATGCTAGGGCTGGGGTTGTGGTTCAGCGGTAGAGCACTCATCTAGCACCTGCAAGGCCCTGGGTTGGATCCTCAGCACCACATAAAGTAATAAATAAAATAAAGATACTGTGTCCAACTACAACTAAAAAATAAATTTTTTAAAAAAGTGAATGCTAAGGAATTGCCACTGGTTTTGCTAGATATAATCACAGCATTATGCTTACGACTTTTAAAAATAAGACTTCATCTATGAGATACATTCTAGAGTAGTTACAAATGAAATTATTTACTTTAAAATACTTTAGAAAATGAAAAGATTTGGGCACTAGATCAAATAAAATGGATTTATCCATTAGTGTTCATTAGATTACTCTTTTACTTTTCTGTGTGATTGAAAGAAGCTGTTTGAAATGAAAATTTGAAGGAGTTGAACAGCAGAGTCTTTGTTTTCATGTGACAATGACCCCAGATCCTGTGCACAGTTCATATTGGCACCTAGTAAGGTTAACAGATATTTCACAGATCAGCCTAACACGTCTGCAGCCCCTAGCTCTGTGTCAGAAATACAGGGCTCCCAGGCTGCGCAGGCACGCTGGAAGAGGGAGTGCTGACCTTGGTTCCCCGTGCTCCAGGAACTTGAGTCAGACATACTTGAGGCTTGGAGTAGAACCAACCCTGCAGTAAATGCTGATTAAAACTGAATCTTGGCTGGTAGCAAACACCCCATATTTCAAGGTGGGGATTTTATTTGCATCTCTCTTTCTTAGTTTTATGGGTTTGTGTTGAATCATCTCAGCCATGTGGTTAGCTTTATTATTATTCTTATTATTACTACTGTCCCTAATAACACTAATTTATAGTAATATTAATTTAAAAATCTCTACAGTCATTTTTCCCAGGGCCTGCAGCCCTTTTTAGTAATCGTGATTATTCTTTTGATCATTTAACTAACCTGTCACTGCTAATAACTGCTGCTTTTCTGCTTGCTGAAATTGGCTGTCCCTTTGCCCCTAAACCATCTGAGGGTCTGTCTCCTGGCTCCCTGAGCAGATGGGCTGGCACTGAGCTCTGCTCTGCTGTGCTGTGTGATGATAGCAAAATCAGTCCAACATTTTTCTGTCTCTCTTTTTATCCTGCAGCAGAAGTATTGGGAGGCCCTAAACTCGGAGCAGGTATGGACAATCATGCTGTCTCTCTCTTCCAGGAGGGACTTCTATGGCTTGATTTTAGCTTCTGTTTTTGTTAGAGGCTCTCGGATGATGGCACATGACAAAATCCATTAAAAAAAAAAAAAAAGGATGTAAAAAGCAAGAGACAAGTTTGAGGACTAGCCAGGCTCTCTTAGTTCAGAGTCTTTTGCTTTGGGGGAATTCATATAAGCCCATACTATCCACTAGGGACTCAGAAAACAGGCATAACCCAGTGAAGATCCATGGATTGGAACAGGGCCTATGAGCAAGCGAGAGTCGCCATAGGTCACCAATGGTAGTGCTGGTGTGATATGGCTGCAGCAGCTGATATGATAAACAGTTCTACACATTTTTCTTTCTGAGACCTGGGGCACCTGGTTGCTGTCACCATGTTATCTTTGCCTTGCAGTAGCAGATGAGCACATGTTTTATGACAACTACCTGCACCTGTCATCTCCCAGGATGGTTTCTGAGAGGAGAATAAATGCATTATCTTTTGTTCAAATTATTTTTATGAATGGTTTCCCACAATATTTTTTATTACTTAAAGTGAAGTTTTAACTAGGCACAGTGGCACATACCTTTAATCCCAGTCACTTGGAAGTCTGAAGCAGGAGGCTCACAAGTTCAAGTCCAATCTCAGCAATTTAGCAAGACCCTGTCTCAAAATAAAAAATAAATAAATAGGGCTGGGGGTATAGCCCAGTGGTAGAACATTTGCCTAGCATGTATGAGGCCCTGGATTCAATCCCGAATACCATGCGGGAGAAAATGAAGTTGGTTTTTTGTTTGTTTGTGTTTCCTTCCTTCCTTTTTCTTTTTCTTTTTTTTTTTTTTTTTTTTTGTACCAGAGATTGAACCCAGGGGCATTCAACCACTGAGCCACATTCCCAGCCCATTTTATTTTTTATTTTGAGAGAGGGTCTTGTCAAGTTGCTGAGTCTGGCTTTGAACTTGTGATTTTCCTACTTCAGCCTCCCAAACCCCTGAGATTACAGATGTGTCAATAAATGAAGTTTTACAACACATTACTCAAAGGAAAGGGATTTAAAATGTTGTCTAATACCTAGTTCATTTCAAAGAGTTCACTTGGTCAAAGTGGCAGGTTGTTTCTGTTTTCGGGCAGCTGATTTGGTCAGGATTAGCAAGAATAACTTTTAAGAAGTCATTTCAGCAGTCAGAGCCATAGTTCTCAAATATCCGAACATCTAAGAAAAATCGTAGGAACTTGTTAAAATGCCAAACCACAGGTAGGAGCTGAGGTGAATCCTCAGCATCAGTCTTTTTGAACAGTAGCCCAGGTCCTTCAGGTAGGGTTGGTCCAGAGTACCTTCTGAGAACTCTGATGTAAGACCCAGGCTTCAGCTCAAAAACAGCCTTCATCAGAGAGCACACTTCCATCCTCTGAGAATGGAATGGGCCCATACTTGTGCCACTGGGCAAGTAGGTCACAGAGGCTGGCCAGTGAGCTCTGTTACTTGGAATCTTTGATAACATCAGGGAATAATTTACTTAAAGGTGTCCAGCCAAGTCTACAACCACAAGTAAATAAGGAGTTCACACCAGGAGTGGCTGGTACAGCGGGCAGAACTGCAGCAACTAATCCAGCTCATCCCCAGGCCTATAGGGTCACTGGGGGTCTTCTTTAACATGATGGGTTTTTAAATCATCAAGTAGTAGAAGTTGGTTAAATTATTATCAGTGAATTTCTAATTGAACCAGCTTTTCTTTTCAAAATAGAGACATAATGTGTGTTTTGTAACTGGCATGACATGGATGTTATCTGGGAGACCTTATTTGGGACCTCTAAGAACTAGACTGTTTGATTCAGCTCAAGTTTGAACATCTGGCAGAGTGTCTTTGTCAGACATAAATCTGGGGTCTATGACCTCTATCCAAATACATAATCCAGCCTAGTCTGCCACATTTTCCATCACTGTTGCTTGTTTCTGGGTTTCCCAGTACTGTGAAATGTGACCTCATGGCTCAAAATCATCAGATATAAAGGCTCAGAAATGGAAGAGGTCTTATTATCTAATTGTTGATCCAACCCTCAGCTTATGTACAGAGAAACTGAGACACAAAGAAGAGCAAGCAAGTTTGTGACAGAAGGAGGACTTGGCCCAGACCCCACTTGCCTCTGGAGCTAGAACATCAAGGGTAGCACTAAGAATCCCTTGGGTCTTGACCATGTGCAAAGTTCTCTCTCTAATCTATCATCTGCAAACACCTTCATAAAGGCTATGTTCCAGCTTTTTTTTTTAACTTTTTACCCTTACCCTTTCCCATACTTAACTGAGTCAGATGATGAAATATTCACTGGCAGTGCCCACGATTCTGAATTGGGTTTTAAGTGTTTATTTTTTCAGTGCCAGGGATTGAACCTGGGGGCACTTAAACCACTGAGCCACATCCCCAACCCTTTTTATTTTTTGAGACAGGGTCTTGCTAAGTCTCTTAGGGCCTTGCTAAGTTGCTGAGGCTGGCTTTGAACTCATAATCCTCTTGCCTCAGCCTCCCAAGCTGCTGGGATTGCAGATATGCACTTAGACCAAGCACAGTGGCTGAAGTGTTTATTTTTAACAAATTGTCTGGGCCTCAAATTGAGAGGAAACACCAAGTGAGAGCCCTGTTCTTCAGGAGTTCATCATCTCCCTAAGAGAACAAGGCAGATGTCCAAAGAAAGACTGGGGCCATCCATGTGCAGGTACGGATGAGTAGCAGATGTAATACAAAGAAAGAAGAAGCAGGTGCAAGCTCACTGGGCTAACACAGCCAAGGCAGGCTTCCTGCCAGAGGAGGTATTTCCTCTCAAGAGTGGGTTGAGGCCAGGTATGGTGGCACTTGCCTCAATCCCAGCTACTCAGGAGGCTGAGGTGGGAGGACTGAAAAGTTCTAGGCCATCCCAGGCAACTTAGCAAGACCTTGTCTCAAAATAAAATACATAAAATAAAAAGAGGGGCTATAGGTCACCGGAAGAATGCTTGCCTAGTACACAGGAGGCTCTAGGTTCAATTCTTAGCATCACCAAAAAAAACCAAAGAATGGGTTTTTATTGGTCTTTTCCAAGAATGAATTAGGCATGGAGGTAGACATTTTCAAGATAAAGGGATTGTGTCTCAGACTCACTAGATAGGAATTTGCTGAATATGGGGGACAGTAGAAAGGAGGTGGCAAGGGAAATAGAGCTGGTCTGTTTAGGGTAATGGTTCATTAATTCCTTGATTTAAAGGTGTACTTGCTCTCTTTAGGTGCAGGAAACAGAGGCCTGGTTAACTTGACCTCGCCCAGTTGTCCTTGTCTTTGCCTGTGTCAGAACTAAGATTGAATTGTTTTTTAGGGTACGGGATAGTAATAGATGGAAAGGACCTGTCCCACCAAAATATCTTTGTGTCTTTTCTTTACAGTGGGATCCTGAAGATGTCAACTTTGAAAGGAACAATGACAACATGGAGATCTTCAGATTCCAGGTGCCAAGGGGCTCTTTGACGACAGTAGACTTGACCTCTGCTGATTAGTATCTTCTAAAAACCAGTCCATCAGCTCAAAGACCAGGATGAGGCATTCATTAGTAAAACTGAGCAGAGATCGACCTACAGTGACACCCATAGCAGGAATTTAAGCCACTGAAGAAGCTGCCCAGGGAAGTGAGGAACCTGGAGCTGAGCGTGGCTGGTCTACCTGGCTCAGAATAAAACTAAGATTGTGGGTTCTATGGACAGACCTGGATATGCCATTTGTTCTGAAGATTAGAAGCTCACAGATGGCTCCTGCTTTGTAAAGATAAACCTTCATCCAAAGGACAACGGGCCCTCTTTTCCCGTCTTTCCTTTCCCTCTATTCCCATGAAATGCAACTGTAAATTCAGAATCTGCTGGATGCCAGGAATGAGTTCACCTAACAAATAGCTCATGTGTTTGGACCTCAGCAGAGCCTGTCTTGCAAGCCCTGGCTTCTGCCCTCCAGTATCTGCTGGAAGTTATCCATAGGACTGCTTGGTCAACCAAGTATCTGTGAGATCAGTGGTATGGCAAGCACAAGCAAAGCCAGTTGCTCTAAGCAAGAGGACTTCCTCCAGCCTGGCAACACGTGTGCGGAGGCAGGGTTTACAGGTGAGGGGCACTGTGTGCTTTAGGAGGTCACTGAGAGCATACAGAGGGTAATAGGTATGCTGGGACATGTTAATTCAAGCATAGTAACCCCATTTGAAGATGATTAGTAGTGTGATCACATGTGAGGGGAAGGGTGAAGGGAATGGGGCTAAGGTCGGAACAATCACTAGAGTGAATAAAATTTAACTGAGTGAATCAAAGCATCTCACACTGGAATATAGTGGTAAGTCAGAATCCCAGCAGAGCCACAGAAGTCTGCCAGGAGGGGGACTGGGATAAATGCCAAGAAACACAGCTCTGCTGCTGGCTGGCTCACAGTGACCTGTGACTCAGCTGCAGCTGCCCAGTTTCTCCTAAGGGCATGTGCAAGTCCCAGCAGCATGAGGAAGTGGGTGCTGGGAAAGTGGGTTGGTTCCACAGGTCTCTGCATAGATCCTAATCCCCTGGGTGACCTCTGAACTAGCAGAAAACTCCAAGCTACTTATTCCATTTATCTGCTTTGGGTTCCTGGTTGTCTTATAAAAGAACGATTGCTAAAGGCAACTTTGTTTTGTGGTCTTAGCCAATGCAGCTTTACTTTGAAGGAGGAAGAAGAGGTGAATAGAGGCCCAAGGCAAAGGGAGTTGAAGGGAACATGCCAGTAAGTGAAATGGTAGAAGCCTGGGGGCAGGGAAGGTGGAATCTAGTTGATGGTGCAGTGTAGATTATAGAGGATAGAAGACACTGGAAAGGAAACGGAGCAGGGAGGCTAGGGAGTGGGTGCTTCAGTCTGTGGCTGATGCTAGCCATGGAAGATAACCAAAGGGTGACTGACTTGCTCAGGGGCTCAGCTACTCAGTGAGCTTTTTACTTCTATTGCCACAGCTTTTCAGGAAACAGAAATGTATAGTCATGTATGGAGTGAACATGGGGAACGTGTTTCATTTAAAGACTATTGAGTGATAACTACAAGCAGGAGGAGGGATCAGCTTGAGAAAAGCAGAAGGCATAGGGATAGGATGACATTTCTGAAGTTCACCTTTAGCATGTGCACACACACTCACAAACATTTTCTCAAAGGGAGGTTGGATCGTGCTCCCTGAGGTATCAGAATCCCTTGAGTCCTCATAGGAGTGGCCATTCTCAAGAACACTAAATGATCTTGCTGCCTTGGAGTAGCACAAACTATTTCAGCTCCAGATGCTATTTATCTCCCTATATCCTATCATCCCAGTCTTTTACCTTCACAAACCAGTTACTATCATTATGGTCCCAGATTGTCTCAGGTCTCTTCATCCACAGTGAACCACCCTGGGAGTTTAGGAAGTAAAGTTTGGCTTTTATCATTTAGTGAGAACCTGCCTGTATGCAAAGCTCTAGAACCCCAGGACCTTTGTAAAGAGGTACCAACCAAAACGACTTTCTCCTAGTAGGAGAGCAGCTTCATTTTTAGCTATTACTCTGGCCACAAAGACTATGGAAGGTCCTTGCCCTGAGGACCCACTAAGCAGTGCAAAGAATTATCTCCACTGGAAGGGCTGGGAACAAACCATGCAATCTTCCTATCCAGAGAAGAGATGGTGTAATATGTCTTAGTTGTCTTACCTATTATCTACATGGCCCAAAGCATGTTACCTAACCTTTGTGAACTCTTAAGGTAGACTAAGAAACCTCCCTAGAAAGCTTATGGTAATGACTAAGTGAATTAACATAAATGAAGTGCATTATACCTGACTAACAGCAGATTTTGAAGAGTGATTAGTTTCCCTCCTCCCTATATTTTTGGACACATATGCTGAAAGACAGTGAAACCAAAGAATCAGATCCATAGATGGAAGGGATTTCAGAGATTTGGATCTCCTTAAGAATAACCACAATAAGTGATTATCCAGCCCCTGCTTAAACTCATCTAAAGAAAACAACAACAGAGATTTCATCTGCCAAAGAAGTTTGTATAATTTAGGGAGAATTCTGATGACGCTAATTTTCTAAAGAGCCTGTATAGAGCCTGAAGAACTAGTTTTCTTATGTCCCTCTGATAATTCAGTAAATGCATCAACTGATGATATATTCACATCATGTTTGTTACAGTAGACATGAGCTACTAGTTTAAGGACAGGCATTGGGCCAAGGAGTATGATGAGGCTCCATTTCCCAGGTCTGATTCAGTGTAATATTTGTCATTTCCCTTTCTGGGGTCAGTTTCCTCATTTATAAAATGAAAGCTAGGTTAGATTTATTTCTTCTTTTTTTTTGAATATGCCAGTTAGTATGTTCCCCACAGACAAACGGACATTTTTATAAACGCTCAGAAAAGAAACACAATGTTAAAGACAAATTTCAGATATGCCTTGAAGATATCCATTTAAGATGAATACTGGTGCTGGGATGTGGTTGAGTGGTGGGGTATGTGATTGGCATGTGCAAGGCCCTGGGTTCAACCCTCAAAACACACATACACACACACACACACACACACACACACACACACACACACACTCCATAACCATACTTCCCAAATTCTCTGCACTCCTTTTTCTGCCCTTTACCATTCTCCTTCAGATTTTCCAACTATGCAGGCACTGACCTATTCTCTTCGACTTTGTTTTTTCTGAAGTTAAGGTCAATGCCCTGGCAGAGATCGCTGTTTTGAATGAACCCAAGCTATACTGCAGTGCCCAGGAAGAACTCTTCAAGAAGTTTACATATGCCTCTCCTAGTATTCAAGAGTCATCACGTGAGAGGGACGATCTTAAGAAGTTCAAGAACGATACCAGATAAAATAACTTAGAAGTCTAATCTGCTTTTTCTTGATAACCCTGAAAGCCAAACAAACCATGGGACATTCGGGACAGCTCCTTTCGAGCAGAGCAAGTCATTAACCAGAGTTAACTTCCAAGAACCTCCGTTGATTGATTGCCTGGAGAATTCGGCACGCCCTCCCAATTCCCTAGGGCATTTTCCATCAGCGCTGGGTACTGGCAGGAGGCTCAGGTCTCCTCTTGCTAGTCCTCACTCAGGGTCTGCAGCTATGACGGCTGAGGGGTCTGTCTCCTGCAGAGCGCCTTCTCTAGGCAGTCCCCAGGGGGATCGTTCACAACCGCCTGAGGGCCACTCGATGGCCTCCCCAAAAGAAGGGTGGTGGCCCATTGTCCATAAGAGTGGGAACTGAACCACGTCTCCCCACGCCTACCTCCTGGGAGAACCGGCCACACAGCAGGTAGCCCATTCAAACCACTCACCTCGTACTTCCGGGAAGAGGGGAAGAGGCGTAGCCCTGCGCGTGCGCACTCCGCAGCCACCGTCTCCCGCTGGGAGTGCGAGTCCCGCCCCCGCGGAGTCTGCAGCTTACGGGCTCCTGCCAGCCAGCGCAGCCGAGGCCCGGGAGACCACCACCAGCAGCTGCTAGCTGCTGTCAGTCTGTCTCCTGAGTTTTTAGGGAGTTAATCACATAGTTATTTTTTGGTTCCTAGTGTAGTTGGGACCAATCAACAGCCTTAGCCTGCACTGTAAACCATTCTTTAAGTACACTAAAAATTTTTTTGAAATAAATATAATACAGGTGCGTGGTTTAAAAAAGAAAATCAGATCCGACCAAGTTTATGAAGAACAACAATTCCCTGGCCCTCCGTTCCCAACCTGCTTACTTCTTTCCTTCCTCACAATCACACTTGCTCATGTTCCCAAAGTGTTTTGTCCAACTGTCTTCTCCATTGATTTTTTGTTTTGTTTGTTTTGCTGGTGTGAAACCCTGGGCCTCACTCAAGCACATAGGGTTCTATGAGTTTTGAATTGGAACCCAGCTGCTGTCAACAAAGTTCTAAGATGATAGTTTTTAGCTAAATTATCTCTAACTTCCATTAACTACAGGCTAATGAGGTGCAGTAGGTGGGACAGGGATACTGGCATGTTGAGAATGGTGTTAAGAACTGTCTACACATCTGCAGGTTACTGCGGAGTCCTTTGTACCACTAGAACCCAGTTTCTGAGTCCCAGGTTACTGGATCTGAGCCCACTCCAACTGACATCTGCCTTCAGGACAGCCTGGCAAGTTCTACCTACCTACTCTGGATTTGACCTTTCCCTCTATCCCTCTACCTCTTCTCCTGCAGATATCTTAGCCCTTGGAATCTCCTGTGGAAAACAGGGTTTTCTAACCCCACTACCAGAACAAAGGACTGTATACACTTTCACCACTACAGCCTTTCCCAAGGACAGCCTGGCCACGTGTGAAGAGAGCCATTTCATAGGCCTAATGTTTTAACCATCACACTTTGTGAAATGTGTACCTAAAGCTCTGATATTCAAATATAGGTTCTTAAGCTCCAGCCTAGGTCTGGACAGGGCTTGGGAATCTTAAGCTCCTCAAGTGATTCTGTCACAGAGTATAGAGGACCACTCTTTGAGAAACACTGTCCTTAGGAAATCAATTTAAAACTGATCTATTTGTGTAAGAAGATGTTCCCATGAAACTACTTAAAATAGGGGGGGGAGTGATAAGTACCCCATGATTGGGAAACATTAAACATTACACCTTTATTTTTGTGTATCTGCAGTATTGAACCCAGGATTGAACCCAGGGGCTCTCTGAGCTAAGTTACATCCCTAGCCCTTTGAATTTTTTGAGATAAGTTCTCTATAAGGCCTGGCTGACCTCAAACTTGTAATCCTCTTGCTTCCCAAGTAGTTGAGATTACATATGTGAGATATCATGTTCGACTAAATAGTATAATTTAATGAAATTACATTTTGCTTTGAAGTCTAAAAGATTGTGGGACAATAAACTGAGGTACATACCTGAATTGCCTTGAAATTATTTGGTGCGATGCCAGAGTGCAAGTTATTCTGATAATGAATTTCTAGTTCTCACATGGTGAAAAAAAATCCTTTTTTAAAAAAAAAAATTATTTTGGTGGTGGTTATAAAGTTGTATGTATGTTTGAACTTCTGAGGAGGCAGGATTGAGACACTGAAAGGCTGAGCCAACTCCACGTGAGCAGAGTGGCAGAGGATGTTTTTGATAGCACCCTAACCAGGAAACAGATTCCTGTGGGCAAGCAGTGACTCAACCCCCAGTCTCAGTGAGTCAACAGTGTCCTAAGGGACTGGCAGCCCTCTGCTGCAAGGGATGTAAGCAGGGCCTAGACTCAATCCAGGATATCAGTGTGACAGATCAGGGGTGGCAGAACAGATCCCAAGGAGTGGAAAGGGAGCTGAATCCTTTGAATGGGACAGGTTAAAAAAAAAAAAAATAATCCGTGTCATCATCATCATCATCATATAACACTATAACCATATTAATAATAAGTAACTATCATTAAAAAAAAACAGCTACAAAATAAAGCAAGTTAAAAAAGAAAGAAAGAAAGAGAGAGAACACAAGCCAGGGCAGTGGCGCATTCCTATAATCCCAGCAGCTTGGGAGGCTGAGGTAGGAGAATCTGAAGTTCAAAGCCAGAGTCAGCAATTTTTGGACGCCCTAAAGCAACTTAGCAAGACCCTGTCTCAAAATAAAAAATAAATCAAAAGGATTGAGAATGTTGCTCAATGGTTAAGCACCCCTA